AACGCTCTACAAGTCACACGTCAGGCATGTTGCTGAGGACACTTCCGGAAAAGAAGCTGATAGTGTGCCCATCAATGTAGTGTGTGGCCATCCCACGGATTATTTGATGGGCCCGTGTCTTCCAAAGCGATGTTCTTGACATGGTTGTACTGGGTTTGATGCTGTTTTCAACGCTTCTCCAAGCTGCAAAGCCTGCAAAACCTTTAAAGGACAGTCAGACAGGCTGGACAAAGACGCTTCTGAGACGCTTCAGACAGCCAAGACTTCACACTCACTGTCGAGCAGTAGGAGCTCTCTGGTCTTGATCAAGCTTGGCAAGGTCTCTGAGCCAAGAGAACATGGCTGCTGACAACAGCACGTGATGGGAGTTTCAGCACGTCAAATCCTTTCGTGCACGGTTTCTTTTCAATTTGCCCAAAGCTATTGAGGCAGGTCTGCCACTTCGGTGATGGGCTGTCCATCATCTAGCCGAGGTGGCTTCCCACACCACGACGCGTCCGGGCGCGTTGGGAAGGTCCGGCCGAGCTGGGCGCGCCACTTTTCGGCTGCTTCAGTTCGAGTGAACCCTGAAAAAGGCCAGTTCAGGAGTGCCATAGTTCGCGAGCAGAGCATCTCTGAAAGTCAGGAAAGGCTTTTTTGAATCTGAAAGGCCAGTGCTGTTTGGAAGCTTTTTGCCACAGAAGTGCATGGTGGATGATGCCAAAGATTGAGCTTTTGAGTGCCTGGTTGGTGCTTCAGCTAGATTCAATGACACTCCAGTGCAAGTCCATGCTTGGAGCATGCTGACAAGGGCAAGGCGAATGATGCTGCCTGCTTCCAGGGCTGTGCTTGGTCTGCAAGATTTGATCGACCAGTCCACGCCGAGCGGAAAGTTCTCGGTGCAACTTCGCAGTGCAGAGCGGACCCTCGGTGATGCCTTCGACATGGCCCACCACAACTGTGGAAGTCAGTTTGTCGTAGCTCCTGAGTTGCCCATGCTGCCTGGAGTAAAACTATCTGCTTGCTGTTCGAAGGTTCCAACATTGAGGGTGTATTGCACCTTGGCAGCATCAATTGAGGAACTGCTTGGTTTTTGGCATGCAAAGGTGTGTGGGCTACATGGGCTGAAGACCAAAATGACTGTGTCAAAAGGGAAGAGGCACACTGTGCAGCCAGAAAAGAAAGAATACATTCTGCGGATAACAGAGTGCTCGAAGCTGCAGGCCGAAATCTCTTCAAAGAAGAGAGTGGTTCTGCGAAACATTTCGGCACTGCTAAGTCTAGAGCCTATGGTTTCATAAAGGTGTGACATGTCCGTTGCGATTTGGAAGCCTTTGTTCCAGGCTTCCATGCTTTGCCCCACGTTGCACCACCTCTCGTTGAGAGTGTGAGATGCTTCGCACAGTCTTTCCAAGTCCTTCGTCTTGACCTGTTGCATTTTTTGGGCAAAACCGAAGCATTGCTTCCACCAAGACTTGGAAACCCAGAATTCCATCGAATTTCTCCCTTGCTGCCCAACAGCTGCTCAGCAGCTGCAGTGGTGTTCAAGACATCCTGATAGGTAAGGCATCAAAACCCACCCTTGCACCAGTGTTCCAAAATCTGGCATCTTCGAAGTGCTAAGTCTGAGCTACAGATCTTCTAAGCAAGGAAGTTGGAATAGAGTTGATGCAAGTGGAACCGAAGATGTTTCCTGATGAGTGCAGCCTAGTGCAGCATAGTGCATGCGGTTCAGGGAAGATCCTGGATCTCGACTGACAGCTGCGGTCCAGTACCATCAAATGGCTTGTGAAGTCTTTCTGCTTGTGCAGAAACCGTGTCGGAATGGTTTCGGGCCAGGCACTCTGCGACTCTGCGAGCAGTATTTGAAGTGGGCGCAGTACTTTCGCTACGCCTCATGAAGCGCGAATTATGGCAGGTCCTTGGTTGAATTCATGAAGCAAGAATTATGTTGAGAAGCACAAGTAGTTAGAGTTTGAACCTCAGAGAATTACTAAAGTTTTCTTGACATTTTTAGATGATGCATCCTTGTAAGCTAGACATTGATGCGATGCTTTGCATTCTTGCTGGGAAAGAACCCCCGATAGAAGGATATCACTTGAAGCACCGAAACATACGCTGCCGAGCGACAGACCAGCTCTGGCCACGACAGACCATCCGGCTTGCCTGGCCCGGCCTGTTGTGTGGACATCCGCGCACCTGACGCATGAGTTCGCTGCTGCCATGCCTTCGCAGGAAGACTTCTCGTTGCTTAGCAGCAGGGCAGGGCTGTTCCAGCCGATGTAGCACAGCCCGAGGGCGGGTGAAAAGCACGTTCCAACAGAGCAACACCAGTCGAAGCCAGACCGGTCTGACATGCAGGCGCCATTTTGCCCTGGCTCCCTCGGTTCTCTTTCTTCCTGGCTCTCCCATTCCGTCTTTTCCGCGCCTGACGCGGGGCAAGTTGCCCGCGAAGTCGATCAGTTGAAAGCCTGACATATAAAAAGGTTCTCTGAACCGGACCTCAGCTTGCCAGTTTGAGTTTGTCAATTGTTTACCTTTTGAGCAGGGTTTGCCCATCTAACTTTGGGATTCTGGAGAGTCTTTCCAAGGGCTTAACCAGTCCTATCCTGCCTAATAAGCAGGTTCACTGAACTCACAGGGCGCAATTCAACTTAGTCACCAGCACAGACGTTCATCCACCATAGATTGATTCTGTGCCTCTCAAGAAAAGCCCAAGTAGGTCAAAGCCCATCGATCCCGAAGCCTCTTTAAGTTGGATCTTCTGGGTACTCGAAATCGCTGAGGATGATCTGCGCAGGAAATCACTGAGGATGATCGATTCGAAATCACTCATTTCTTGAGAAACGAACACCCTTGAAGTTCTTGAGCACCGACCATCACCCCAACAAAACTTTGGTCCAAACAACATGCAAGACTCGTCTTGATCCACGCTCGAAGTTGGAAACGCGAGACGGCCAAAGCCTTTAGCAACAAGTATTTTGTAGCATAGTGTGCCTAGCATAGCATGCAGAGCAGTAAGCCCCCATCGAAAGAGACACCACTTGTGCGTTGATATTCTTTATTCATTCGTGCCCAATCTAGCCACGGAAGCTTGAGCCGGATGTTTGTCACAACGAAGCCCTTTTCGGCATTGGTGATAGTTGGCTCCAATGCTAAGAGCAAGGCTTGGTTCTCGCTAGCAGCAAGGCGTCCTGTTCTTGCGGTGGAGGACTGCTTTGGGCTGTTCCGGCTTGTCCTTCAGGACATGGCTTTCGACTGAAGAGTGGTTGTGGGTAGACTGATCCATATGGCACCGACAAGCACATCCAATCTTTCTTGGGTTTACAAGCTTAGGCCAGTACAAACACAATCTAAGATCTAGAAGTGATTGTCCCAATTAGTTCAATCACTATCCCACCTCATGAAGACATGGCTTGCTGTTGCCACGAGGGAAGGGAAGAGCTTTTGTTCTTGCAGCACTTTGAGGACCGGCAGGTCCTGCGCACCTCCTTGAACAGCACAGCTTTGGCCTACCATGTATGCCACAAGTTGCAGGTGGTATGCATTTGCAACCCGCAGGACAAATCATGCATGCTCCACTTTCGTGCATGCATCTCCAAGGTGCGCTGCGACGCGAAGATGCATAGTGCAGCACACGCTCCTTCAAAGCTGTAGGCTGTGATGACATTAGTGTCTGTATACACCGGTTTGGGCGTTGCCACCGGTGCGACACTTTCAAGTTCACCTTCAAGTTCTAATCCGACATTTATGTCACTGTTTTGTTCCACTGGCAGGGCCTGTTTCTTCAAGCTTGCTGCGAGACAAGGCATGAGAGACAAGTCATGCACGCTTGCGCTGAGCTTTTTGGATGATCAGACAACGGCTGACAATGTGACACCTGATTTGGTTTGCCTCTGGAGCGCCTATTTCGCGCAGATCCTTCGAAATGCGGATGCATCCTGCGGTGCATGCCCCTAGGTCTACTGATTGGTCCATTTGCACCAGTCAGATTGCTGCACCAGTCAGGCTGTGCACAGCCTGGACTAGCCGCACTCTGCTCGCATCAGGGGGAAGTCACCCGATCGTCCTTGGAAAGGCTGGAGGCTCTCGGACCAGCTCGGACCAAGCTGATCACGGGACAGTCCACGGGATGCTCGGCCCAGCTCTTTGAATGAAAAGCGCCAAGAGAGTACTTCTTTCAAGCCTTTGTAGTGCGGTGCTCCCAACGAGCATGGAGCCTCCTCCGAATGCTCTGCGAGTTCTTAGCATGCAGAAGTCCAGCAGATGGCACTTCACGTTGAGCAGCTCCCTCATTCGACCACTCTGCCGATGCAACAAAAGATTTTTTTCCTTCCCGTTGCGTCCGAAGAAAGAGGCCATATTCAGACCATCCATGCAGGCTATTTGTTTCTTCCCAAAGAGGGTGTGCATGTGGACTGTCAAGATGGATTGATGTCAGTGGTAAAATGAGCGGTTGAGAACTCAGGCACAATCCATCCCGAACTCGAGCTCCGAGCCTTCTCATTTCAGGAAGAATCGACTTGGAGGAGTCTGACTCAACTTGATCTGCTGACCAGAGCAAGCCAGTTTGATACTCTTCTCCTTTTCTTCATGTCCATCAGAGCGCTTTCTTTCTGCTCTTGGAAGAAATCCTTTCACTTCATCAACGAGGCGGGTGTCAGCAGTGAATATCTCAACAATTTCGTGCGAGCACCGAGAACCAGCTGGATTCTCGTAGCTCCGAACCCCTATCACTGCGAGTAGCTCGTTTGCTGTGAAGTAGCTGCCCCTCGGAACCGGTTTCCGAAGTAGCTGCCCAGGTTTTCAAAACACTTCTACAGTGGCGGTTTTTGAGCGCTGTTGTCCTTGAACATGCGAAACGAAAGGACACACCCAGGTCCCAAGTAGTCGCCATTTAAGTTTGCTTCGTGAAGGCTCGAGGTTCGACCTGCAAGCCAGGGCCCTTCCGGCTGACGAAAGGTGTTGTGAAAGGATGCTGTTGGGGTACATTTTTCGGCTACTTCAGTTTCGAGTCCTTCCTATGAAAGCTCTGGCAATGAAAGCAGCAAGGACACACCGAAGTGATCTCGGAAGCCTGAGGGACGGGCATTTGGAGAACCTTTTTGGTGTCCGGTAGGGTCTTTGGTTTGTGCTTCGAACCTAGGCAAGTGCGGCAAGCAAGAGGTTTGGCAGCAGTAACAGCCACTCTTTTTCCGTGATGACCATCCTGGGTATGCTAGGATCATCCTGTGGATGGTGTGGATGAACCACAGATCCATCGTGAAGTGGCCATGTGCGAATCGTGAAGTGGCCATGGTGCAATTGGGAGGATTCTGGTCGAGCTTTTGGTCAGAGTAACAACTCACTTCCTTTCCAACATTTTCTTGCATCAATACAAGAAAACGGGTATTTCTACCACCTATCTTGGGGAGAAACCAAAGCCATCTTGCCAAGTCCATGGCAAGTCTATGCACACTGATGCGTCTTTGACCGATGAAGGCTTCAAAGAAGAGTCCCAAGTAGCGGCAAGTCTATTTCTTAGCTTTTGCTTATCCGCAGAGATGAATGAGAAACGAGCAGCTGCAGCACCCCAAAACCCTGCATGCAGATGAGAAAGCAAGGAGCAATCTGCGGTCGTTTGCTTCGCCCCTGAGAAAGCGGTTGCGGAAGCTATGGAAAGCAGCTCATGCGGAGAAATGACCTGCGCAAGTCAAGCGTGGTATAAAGTGATGCAGAGTTCATAAGCCGGTCTGACCACCACTCAAATAAAGGGTTCGCAAGCTTTTGTTCACTCTTCGTGCACGCTACATTTCGGCGACGCCCACCTGTACCAGCAAAGAGGAGAACGCTTCGTGAAAGCGGGTAAAGGTGACAACTGAAGCTCTGTTCGACGCATTGAGCGGAAGTTCTGAACTGCTGATACCGTTTTTCTAAGGGTGACATCAATTGACCAAGTCGGTGACATCGTTCCCTGACATCGGTGTCCAATCTGCCGTCGGACGGCAGGGACCGAGTTCGGCTTCCCCATCTCGGTGCGCTGAGCTTTTCGCCCACGCGAAGCACGGAGCACGCCTTTTGCAGGTGCAGCACGAAACGCTTTCGCATCGAAGGGAAGCTTTTGTGATCGGAAGGGAGCCTTGAGTGTTCTTCGCACGAAGTGAGGCACACTGCCAGAAGCCATGCCCGGCGATACAGGTGGCAAACTTCTGCCAGGCTTCATATATGTGAAAGGCTTTCAAGAATCAGAAAACTTAGCAGCTTATATCATAGAGGTGTTGTGGCAAGTCAAAGCTCCAAAGATGTCTGTGCTTCGCTGGCGCTTGGTGAGAACATTCAGCAGACACTGCGCACAGTCCAGACCCAACGAAGCAGCAGCTCCGAGAAGCTCGGACTGACGTTCGACTGGCTGATCAAAGAGACTTGCTGCAAATTGGATGCGCTTCACTTCTTTTCAGCGATAGGAGCGCTCTCTTTGATAGGAGGCTCTAGGAATCCACACGGCCGTGCCCATCTCGCTTCCTTTTCGCCATGAGCCTCAGTGCGAAGAAGTACAACGGTGGGCCTCAGTGCTGCGAGATACTCTCTTTCAGCCTACGGAGTTGCTGAAGAACACCATCCCGCTTTCGACGGACCTTTTCTTTTCACCACAGGGCCGCTGCTTGAGCGCGGCCAGGACACCATGAGGGACACCATGAGGACGTGCGCGGCAAGAAAACTGATCTTTAAAACATCCAAAGCAGCCGTTCAAGTGGCAGAATTGAGAGCGGAAATCTTCTGAATTGCACCAGGGGGCGGTGTCTATTGGAATAGTAGAGCCACTTCGTTTTGGGCACCAGCGACTGGAGCGTTGAGCAACCGATCGCGACCAGCGGCGCACGAACGATGCATTTTCTCCGTAGCTTTTGGACATAGATAAGTGTACGGCCAGCTAGTCTCGTAGGTTGCAAAGCATGTGAGGGTTCTATGATCTAGTTTGGTGTGGTGAACATCGATTTTCAGGTCAAATCGATCAAGGAGAATACATCAAGAGATGCTCTCAGACGGCCGAACGACTCCTTTTTTGGTCCAAAAGAGGCGCCCAAATTGGGATTAAACACGAGAATCGTCCATGCTCGTCTTGTCTTGAAAGATCCTTGCTTGGAACTCAGAAAAGCCGGCTGAGCCTGAGCCTTAAGAGCCGTCGCAGAGCCGTTGCCGTCGCAGGTCGCCAGAGGATGAACGAACAGGCGAACGTGGCCCACCTTGAGTCCATGGCCCTTCCGTGGCCAGGCCTAAGAGCCCTCTTTCGGAGCCACGGAAGAGGCCGGCTTCTCTTGGCTCCACGGCCCGGGCGTCCTTTGGACCGAATAGCGACACCGTGAAGTTTCGCGAAACCGGAAAGGCCTTCTGAACACTTCACTTGTGCTTGACTTGCAAGGAGTCAGCTTTCGAAAAGCTGTTCAAGTTGGACTCAAAAGGATTATTCCAACTTGCACTTGAGTTGCGAGCAGTCTTTGCCCGTCTGGGTATCTTGAGCGGATTTTGGATGTTGTGAGGTTTTCACCCAGCTTCTCCGTCGAAAGAGTCCGATTTGAAACTGACGCCATGTGCCAATGGCTCCTTGTAGACAAGCGAAGAACTCCTTTGGGGAGCTTGGAAAGTCACTACAAATCCAGGAACTGGCTAGGCCAGCTTTTTGAGACGGCCTGCATGGGCTCAAGTCAAATTGAAGAGCCGAATGCTTTCAACATGCAAGCCATGACCGGCTCAAAGCATCGTTTGCGGTGGTGCTTGGAGCATGACGCATCCTTCCTGCTACTCAGCAGTGTTGAAAATGGCTCTTTCTTTGTGGTTAGCACTCCTCAGTGTGTTCGGCCCCCACACTGCAAGCCGCGTGTGATGCTTTCCTCAATTCGCGCGGAGTTTGCAAGAAGGGAAGCCATAAATTTGAAAGTTCAGTGTAAGCTCAATCAGTTTTGTGCTTTTGCCAAGTTATAGCTTGGCATCGCAACAGTTGTTCCTGACCGGGGTGGTTTTGGTCAGCTCTACAGCTTTGGTTTTGTGGAATTCTCCACTTTGATGGTCCTCTCCACTTGGTGCCCAGATCTGGGCCCATTGGTTCCAGCACTAAGCTCAATACCGATTTGAGCACAGTCGCAGCACTTGCTCGCTCTCTCACCAATTCGAAGACACCGACCCAAGAATGAATCTGTTGCCTCCAGACTCTTGAAAGGTAATGCGAGAATCTGATTCCTTTTGAGGACGCATATAAATACTGGAGCGATGCTTCAATTGAGTTCCACTGGTTGAAGGAAGTATCACATTTTGCGGTCATTTATATAGATTGTTCAGTTCGGACACACTGTTCTTTTTGAGTTTTGAAGCACGCTTTTACAGCGGCAGAAGCCAGCTGCACTTGCTTCAATTTCGTCCGAGCCTACCAAAGATTCGGAGTAACATCCGCACTGCCCTACAAAGGGTATCCCTGAAAGAGGCTGCTGTAGGGTATCCCTGAAATCATTTGGGTGTCACACAGTGCAGACTAAGACTCAACACATAGCCTATTCCTGGGTTTTGCAGGTTGTTTCTGCTGATCTTCCTCAAGTTAAGACTGGGGGCATCACTTGTAGCTGCCGCAGCTTTTCAGAGGAAGAAGACGTGTCAGTCCTCTCTCTTCGGAAATGCTGCCGCAAGTTCTTCTACAAGTTTTGATATGCATGTCAATGTGCCGTATGTCTCCCAATGAACTTCGTCGACGTGATCAAAGACACATTCCTTGGTCCACCGAAGAAGATGCCGCTTTGAATGCTTGGGATTCACTCCGAGGACCCGCAATCCTCCATGAATCCTTCAAATAAGCTCCAGCCAAGGATCTACATGTCCACTCCGTCCGATGTAGAACATCCCAAAAACCACCCGCGGTGTGCACGAAAACATCCAACTCCACGTCCCTTCTGGACCTCGAACGCTCGGCGCAGACCTCGGTCCTTCAGCCGTCTCTCGGGCGGAGCCGCCGAGAGGCGTCTCCGATCTGCGCGAGACGAACTCGACGAACAAAACCGCCCGCACGTTGATGGACACATAGAGGTGTCGAAGGGCAGTCTCTGGGACCTTTGTGAGGTCCTCTGGGACCTTCGAGGAGGTCCTCTGGGACCGTCAAGTTGGTTGCAGAAAAGGCCGTGGCCAATGGGGGTTTGGAGGGGGTTTGGAGGGGTGCTGGTGGGGTCACCAAGGCACTGGTACAGAGGGGAGAATGGGCTTTGGGAAGGCATGGGGTCATGCCACAGCTTGCACCATTTCGAGTGACAATTTTATTGCTGTGATGCTAAGGCCAGAGCTGTGCTTGCACAGTTGTGCTGTGAGTTTGTGGCTCCAGTAATGCACAAGAAGCCAAGATGTGATTGTCCTGGTTTCAAATCAACAGTTTCACCAAGCACGAACGCGCCCGGCACTGGAAGCATCCAGTGCCGGGCGAACGCGCAGTGGTATTTTGAAGGTGGAGGTTCTTGTAGTGAATCACCGCCATGGCACGACAGCTTCGTGGCCATCTAACGCTGCCGCAGGCAGGAGTTGTTTTCTACTTGTAGCTTTTTTCGCCACGCGTTGGGGAGGCTTTTGGCAGTCGATTTAGAGAGTCAACTCATCCTGCAGGATAGAGAGTAGGGTCGAGCACGGAAGTATGAAACACATTTCTGACCTCCTGCACTGCACTGAGAGAGGATGAAACAGAATGAAACAGATGTTGAAGCGAACAATGCGCACAAATGCGCGGCAATGGCAGGACGTGAAAGTGGCACCTCATGTCCTGCCGACGGACGGATGCGGCTTTATTGCGCAGATTCTGTGGTCCAGGTTGGCTAAGAAGTTGCATTCTGCAGCAGAAACAGGGCTTTTCCAGATGTTTCTTCCCCCACACAGCTAAAACAGTTTTATTTGTGTTTTCCGCGTCATCACCAACTTGGACCAGTTTGAGAGAGAGAATCTGGACTGAGGGACAGCACTGCAGGCTAAGAAACAAGGAACTGCAATCATGTCACCATCGGCTGACACCATCGGTTCATGTCTTTTTTTCGACAGGACTTAGGACTTGTGTTCAATTCTAAAAAGCGTCCCGTCCCCTCACCATCGGCACCCTGAAAAGAGTCGAGATGAGCAGCTGTGCAAATCGACATGGCGCTCTCTCTCTCTCTCAAAACAGATGCGTGATTCATGGAATGGAAGGAGCTTGGTCCCACAGCACTGACCCGTCCGGGCAGACTCCCACTCTGGTGGAAGCGGTCGGGGTCCGATCGGTGGGTTCCAGAACGCCGGAACTGGCTGGGTGTGTCTGTGGGGCTCGAGTGATCTGCGTTTCGATTGAAAAAAGCGATGATCCTGGGGACGTGGCAGGAAGTCGCATTAGTTCTCGGGCCGAAAGGACGACATGCACAGTCCAACAGGTACCATCAAGCCATGTCTAATGCAAAAGCTTTAAAGGCAC